CAGGGGATGGGAGAGAGAGAATCATGGCAGGTTCTGTAATTGCTCAGCACAGAGTCCAGTGTGGGGCTCGATCCCACAAACCTCAAGATATGACCTGAACTGAGATCAAGAGTCAGACGCTTAACTGACTGAGCCACCCAGGTGCCCCTCTTCTTTTATATTCTCATTTCTGTCTCCATCATTTCTACTTTCAGATAGATCTAGGGTCAGACAACTGCCACCTCCACCACTAGCACCCTGATTCAGTTCTCCATTATTTTTTTTTTACCTGGATTGTCCGCTGTCCTTTGAACTGGTCTCCCTTCTCAAATCCTGTCTTTGCTGCTCTCTGGCCATGTGACCTTGTAGTTTCATCATCTACAAAACTGGGGAAATAATAGAACCCACCCAAAAAGGTTCCTGTGAGTTTTCAATAAATTAATATAGCTGAAGCACTTAGAATGGTGGATAGCTTGCTATAGCTGTTATAATAGCCTGTCGTTACTGCTGTCCGCACCATCCTAATGGGTGGTTTCCATCCTCAAGATAACCTCATAGTCCAGAATAACTGCTAGAGTACCAGCCATCACATCTGTCTTACTGGCAGCAGGATGGAAGGAGTCGTTTTAAGGACACTATCTGGAAAAGTCATATCCATGGATATCTCATTGACCATGATTGAATCACTTAGCCACACCAAGCTCTTACAGGGTCATTTAGCTGACTCTGGCTAAATGTTTGGTTGCTGTTACCAAAACAGAAGGGCAGAGCGGCAGTTACTGTAAGTAACTGTACTGCAAATGGGAGGCATGTGGTATTATGTGTGACGAGGACATATCATGCAAGAGGTCAGATGGAGCTTCTTTGAGGTAATGGCAACTGACCAGAGAAGTAGGCAAGCAGGGAGGGGTATGAGGGAGAGTCCCAGGATGAAGCAAGAACAAGCGTAAATGTCTGCGACAGGAGAGGGTATGGTAGGTATCTATGCTCATGGTATATCATGCACCACATGCTGAGAAATATAGTAAGCTGGATTCTCTGTCTCCATCCAGGCTCTCCCATAAGGGTGGTGCTGGAATTTCTCATCCCGCTTTCCAGTATGGGAGATGCCCAGATGGAATGGCCTGAGAAGTCCCTAAGTCCTTCAAGAGCTTGGGTTAGTGCTGATACCCTTTGTCTACATGAGAAGAAGCACTTTGAGCCTGATGGCTAAAGCAGAGGTAGGGCTGCAGAGAAACTTGACTTTGACCACCAGCTCAAGGCATTCCCTGGTTGGGTGACCTTGGCAAGGTACTTAGCCCTTCTAAATATTATCTGTTTTCTCATCTCTAAACCGAAGATGATACTACTACCTAACCCAGAGGTCCTCTGTGAGGACCAACATTGCTCAAGATAAAAAGCACTTAACCAAGTACCTGGTCCACTGAGAGTATCCACTAAAGAGTGGCTTATTCTATTATTACTGCCACCTTCATCGTCATCACCTTCCCTCTCCTTCATTCTCTTTTGAATGACACTTTCTCAGTTTTCCCACATTCAAATACCAAGTGTCCCATGGATGCATCCTGCACCAAGTTTTTCTCTAGGAATGTGTGAGCCCAGAGCATACTTCTTTCTCTGCCCTTCCTTTTAAAAAGTGGCTTGAGGGTGTGTGTGGTTAGATACAGAATCATACAACTTGGGGTTGTTTAGCCTGGAGGGAACCTGAAGCTGCCCATGCAAACCCTTATGTACTAAGTGAAGAAACAGATCCAGAGGCACAGAGCCTGGTTGACAATGCCTAACAAGGTGGCTTTTGCAAAAGAGAGATTGCCTCACCTCAGGCCACATGGTGATGAGAAATTCCCAGCCTGGTTTTACGTGTATCGTGGACCAGGAAGACAGCCCGCACGTATACAGACATCCATGTCAGGCATATGGGAATCCGAGTGTTCATGTCTACCCTTCTGGCAGAGATATCTCTTTTTCTATTGAAAGCTGTCAACTTTGATTATCCACTTGGTGTGTTTGTGGGGCTCGTGTGGATCCAAGGCAGTTACCCCAATTCTCTCTCCCTAGCATCTGCCTTTGGTATACCTTAGTAACACGTTACCTTCTTTAACAAGGCGAACACCGGTTACAGGCACAGCATAGAAAACATAATAAGGACTTACATATAGGATCAATACCATCATGCCTTCATGGTGTTTGTGACCCAGCGGGGAGAGACATTAAACAAATAGATTATGTACAAATAAATCATAGATGTGTTCAGAATTACAAAGAAAAAAGTGCTGTGGGACCTTGAGAGATCATCGTGTCCGGGGATATGGTTTGCCATTCCTTAATTTTAGCCCACAAAGGACATTGCCATTTGGCTCTTACATTCTTTCCAACAAAACTCAGACATAACTTCAGAATCCTTCTCAACACGGCTCTCCAGACAGCCATTACTAATCAGTCAGTCTTGGCTCTCAAGACAGAACCTATTGGCCATCCAAGATTTGGCCCACTTCCCAGCCCTCCTTCCACCATCCCTTTTAACAGACAAGCATCTGGCCAAAGGCTGGAAGGCACGTGCTTCAAGACTCCAGCCAGAGGCCCCAGTGTCCAGCTGGTCAGGCTCCCAGCTCAGGGTTGTGTATACCGTTTGTGACTGTTGGGTGCATGATGTGCCGTCAGGAGAGCCGGCTCCCAAGTAGTAGCATCTGTGACTGTTGCTAATCTGATCTGAATTTGTTGTGTTCTGTTCTGAAGCTCCTTCTCAGAGGTGCAACCTGTTGAGGGCACTGCAAGCTGTAATTTCTGGTCCTTTAAGGCTCCGATAGGAAAGTGGCTCTTTGTTTTCATGAGTTATTTCTTGAGGAAAATATATGTTTTGTGGAGAGTTTGAGGACAGTCTTAAACTGAGGACATCACCACAAAGGCCTAGTCTCTCATTTTCCTTCCCATGTGCTTAAATGGGTGAGTCAAAAAGAGGTGTTTCCTGCTTGACTGGGACAAAGCTTCCCGAAAGAGAGAGAGAAAGGGTAGCTCTCCTTTCAGAGGCCTGTCAAGTCCGGCAGTTTGTGCAGGACTGAAGCTTGGTATTTATTTTTCAGTTCATCAAACATTTGTAATCCTCAGGGCCCCCCGTGCATTTCATATGACAAGCTGTGATTCAACACAAATGCTTTCCTAAGGAAACATGCATTTATCATTCCCTTAATGTTCACGTCTCCAAGGTTTCTTTTCCGTCATATGAAAAAATGTTTAATATTTCAGAGACTTTACTTGAAGTGATTCCTCATTTTCAGCTTAATTTCTCACCACTTGATACCTATTTTCTGAACCCCTAAGAAACACTGGAGGAACTCATGAGCTTCCTTTTTCAATAGCAGTCACCATAACCAGGAGGAAAGAATCAAAAAAGCATGCTTATGCTATTCCTGTTTTCTTAAATTGGGAGACCTTTGGGGATAAAATTACTTGAAAAATGAGTGTTGGAGAGTTATGGACATTTTCCAAGTCACTCTGGAGATGTCTCTGAGACACAAGGCATCTTGTTGGTATGGGTCTATCCCTCTGTCCTTTGCTGGGTTCCATCCGCTGGCACAGGGCCGTAGGAAGCCCTCGTCTTAGTGCATATGAAGAAAAAGCATTCTTTCCAGGGAAGAATGAATGGGAAGGACAAAAGGTTCAAATGGGACCCTAGGATGTGTGGTTTAGTTATCTTGAATCTTCTAGCACTTCCAATGTTATAAACTCTGTAGAGACAGAGAGAAAAGTTGGCCATCTCATCTCCTAGCGAGTGTGGCCTTTACTGTGTGCATTGGGTTACACATTCTAAAGTTAGCACAGCTCTACAATTTACTATCTGTGGGACAGTGTATTATGACTTACCCTCTATTTTCCATTTTGTTTTTATCTGTAAAATGGGGATAATAAGGGTACCTAGTATTGGGACACTTTGATTTGTGGGATAATGCAAATAAAATGTTTAACACAGTGCCTGGTGACAAGTTCACACACAATAAATGTTAGGCTCTATGATGAGAAGGAAGTCTTGAAAACGATGTAACTCCTAGATTCAATATTTAATACATGGATAATGTTATTTCCATTTCAGATTAGAAAAATGCTTTTCAAAACACTGCATACTCTAATGGCAGTCACAAATCTGGTGGCATTAAACCACAGCCTAATGGTCTCAATGTTGAAAAGTAGACAAGTATGTCTTGTAAATGTTCATCTTTTTCCACATATCTATAATTTCAGTTTCTTGCCTGTACCATTGGGAAAGCTATTATGTCTTATTTTATGGGTTGACTGACTGCCTTTTCGTTGTTCTTAGAATATTAGCTTTACTTCAAATGCGCAAATCCTTGTGCCTGCTTCCTTAACCACCAATAAAGGGAACAGTTAATGTGTTACAAAGCAAGAAAAATTGACTTTAAAAACAGAACATACTTCTAGCTGTCTTACCTTTACATGGGGAAGGGTTTCTCAACTTTGGCACAATTGACATGTGGGCTGGATAATTCTTTGTTGTGGGGACTGCCCTGTGCATTGTAAGATGTTTAACAGCATCCCTGGTCTCTACCCACTAGAGGCCAATAGCTCTGGCTTCCTCCCCTCTCCCTGGCTTTGACAATCACAAATGTCTCCAAACAGTCCTTCACCACTAGGGAACCACTGGTGCACAGGAAGAAGGAACTGGGTCTTAGAAATGTGTGTTTGGGGCCACTGAACAGAAGAACCTCAGTTCTAGCGTTGCAGGAAGTTGCCAAACTCACTTCCTGAGTATGATGACTCCCAAAGCTTGTGCTCACAGATTATCTGTTGATACTACAGATTCAGATAGCAGGTCAAATAATCAGCACCGTAGCTTAATTTGGGAAAATGACTTGGTTTTAGTTTTATTTCCCTATTTTTCTCCCAATATTCGTTTTTCCATTTTCCAATGGCAACTAAATGAAGTTTTACAGTTAATCTTGACTTTGTATGTAATGATTGCTTTTTTCTTGTTTTTCTTTTTGTTTTGTTCTCCCGTTATTTTTCAGCTCCCTCAGGCACAAAAGGTAAACTCCTTTCCATCACATTGCAGTCATCCCCAGAACTCGCGAACTGTGCATGTCTTCATGATTTTGTGCATTCGGTTCTGTTCATGACCAGTGAAATGGTTTTCCTCTTCCAACTTCAAAAGCCTGAAGCTGGGCAGGAGCAGAAAGGCCGACAGACTCATCGGTCCACTGTCTCCCTGCCAAGTTAGTCCCATCAGAGAACCCTCTCGTGGCCAGTGGTTTGGGGGCAACTCTATGCCCAACCATTTTGCTAAGAATTCTCAAATAATAGGTCAAGAGTAAGTTTAGCACACTCCTCCAAACATAGTATTCCAGTTCTTCCCTGAGGTACTTTCCTAGGGATACAGCTAATGTGAAAATTTGTAAGGCCCAGTAACTAAGTTTAGATTCTGGGCTCTTAAGGCAAATCTCTGAAAACTCCTCTTGGGTTTCATTAATTGCAAAATCAGTAGCTCCTTTGCTTGTGTCATTGCCTGTACCACATGTAGAGCATTAGAACAAAGTTCTTGCCAATGTCAGACCCTTTCACTGGTCCTCATTGTCTGTCTGAGATGATCTGGTTCCACCATCTAGAATATTCTCTGTCTACTAAGATTCCATGTGATTGCCATGCTGGCTTTGCTATGTCGTCCCCATGGTATGTCATCATATCCTAAGGACAGTTGTGGAAGAGAACATGACACATGATGCCTGCTGCATTGTTTTAGGACATTTCACAAACACAAGCAGGATTTCCAGAAGACACAGTGATTTCTGGGGGCCAGATGTGGGTTGGTTTTGTTTCAAGAGTTGAGGTAAGACGCCTCCCCGAACTGTAAGCAGTACCTCCCAAGCTTTCCAGTTTGGAGCAAAGATGATCTGATTCCTTCCTGTTGAGAGAGATAGCACAACTGCTCTACAAAAGGCAGTCTGTTCAGACCATATGGACAACCAGAGGCCTAGAAATCATTACACAATTACTCAAATATATTTGAGATATTTAAACAAGGCGAGACATGCTAGTGTGTGACTTGGCTTGTGGTAATGTTTGATTACACTTCAGTGCCATCACAAAAAGACTGAACACTTCATTAAAAGTTAAAGTATTTGAGTAGAACAACAGCTTCCAGGGTAAATATATGGTCAGAATTCCACATTATCTGGAAGGATTGGCATCTTTAATAGGTCATGCTTTCTTAATTGCCCACATTTGAAATTTCTTTGTAAAGAGACTTACCAAATTCAGTGCCTAAAGCTGGACTGGCCTCAATTTACTGGCATTTATTCATCAAATTTAATCTGATCTATATACAGAAGCATTTTGTTGTAGAAGATTCCTCATGAATATGAGGTGCCATCAGCCATGGAATTTTAAAACAAGGTTCAAAACAAACCAACACAGAATATGGTAAGAATAAAGGTTGTTGGGACATATGGTTCTTCAATAGCACTTAGCTCCCTGACCTCTTTCCTTCTGTCACTCACGTCACATGCCCTGCAAATAGAAACTTCGAATTGAGGAGGATGCCCCAGTGCCTTTCCAAAAGATGCTGGACTTGCCCAAGAACTTGCTCTGCAGCCCTGTGTCACAAGGAATAGCTCTTCCTCCCCCTGTTCCTCACCATTGCTACAAATTGCCTTTTTATTAAAATTAAGAAAGGTACTTACCTTAAAATTTATTAAGAGCCCTGTGTGAAATGGTTTCAGAACTCCTTGGAGTCATTTTGGGCAATTCAGTTCTTTGGAGAAGGAGTTTCAGTGTAAACCTCTGGTATCTGGGCTGGAAGGTGAGGGCAGTTGAGGAAAGTCACACTGCAGATGGAAGGCATCCTCCCTCAGGGCTTCTAGTCTCAGTTGCTGATATAGAAGTATCCGTGCCCCTCATGTTCTTCCTCTCCCTTCCCCAGTGTTACTTCAGTGACACGTACAGAGGACTTTGCGAGAAGGATGGGGTTCTTATGAGCACCAGCAACCCCCCTTCAAAATATTGTCTTGCTGCTTGAGCAGCAAAGGAATATGGTGGGTTCCATTCCAGCCTTCATCCATTTGTGACCATGGGCAAGTTAATTAACTTATCTAAGCTTAGGTTTCTTTTCTTTAGCAAGAATGATAGACTGGCTTTCCAGTTTTGTTATGAGAGTTATTTCTCTTACTTGTGCCTAGTATAGAACTTGACATATGCTAGACACTCACAAACTTAGAATTTCTATTACCATTTGCATGTCTTGGCCTTCAACAACTTAGAATTTCTATTACCATTTTGTATGATTTGGAGCAGCAGATCATATGTGATGTGGTGGTCTTGGGCCTCTGCAGTGATTTGTGGTTCTGATTCAAGCCTGATGAATAATCAGGAGATGACAAAAGAGCCCGGGAGATATGTGACGTTCTTCTTATTTCATTAAAATCTCTGCATTACCTGACTTCACCTTTTACATGGAGTCAGCAGGAAATGCGGATAGGCTTCCAGGGACAATTGTTTTGAGAGATTCCTTCCCAAAGTCTTTGACATTATCCATAGATTTCACCCATCCATGGCCATGATTATAATGAGCCTCTTCCAAACCCAAGAGTTTGTTGTTCTGGGGGTAAAGGGGAGACATCTCCAGCTGTTACATCTTTGGCCTGCTTTTCACATGAGGTCATGGGTGCATACGTTGGACCATATGGTGTCTGCATTTGTGCTGTGTTTTTGTTGGAATCTCTCGGTATCATCTGCAACTGTTTTCTCCATAAATATTTTAAATGATTATGTCTCTGTAAACATGCTTACTTTAATCTCTTAGCTGATCTATCACTAAAAATGTCCCGTTTGGGTGTCCCTCATATGTGTAGTAGTCATTAATGATTATTGTCTGTATGTTATGGTTTTCATAATTCTGATATTTGGAGGACCTTTCAAGACTTATCTTCTAGTTTATGACTATTTTCTAGAAGAGTGGCTTGCAAAAAAGAATTTTTTTTTGTTTTTCCTGTGATTCTTAAGCACCTCTGAGATAATTTCTAGACTCTATCCATAAATTTCAATCCCTGATACCACATTGGGATAGTAGCAACTGGTGAAATGCCTGATCAATATTAAATATTTTCACCAAATGCAGTGAAGTGTCCTGAAGTCTTGGTTAAAAACGATGTAGCAATACAGACCTGACACCCTCAAGCCATCACAAATCTGTTCTTTTTAGTGGAAGTTGAACCACTTTCTAAACCAGTTGATTGATTGTTCTTGAACAATGAAGAAAGGTCCATATGTAAGAAAGGTTTGCCTTTTTTTTTCTTTACATGGTACTTCTTGACTTCTACCAAAATATCTGGGAGGTCCTATTTTATAATAATAGCAGAGCAGAATTACCCAAAACCATTTGCAAATGTACATTCAATAGTCATTCATAGCAAAAACAGTCCATTTTTCAAGCTGCATATTCATTCAGGTAGGTTTTATCTATAGGAACGAAACATCGGTTGTTCACTGCATGATTCATCACTGTAGACTGAGACCTTCAATACTTAAAGGCAAAAATACTCTTTGGGCAATTCCAAATGTGGCTGTTTACGTGTGTTAACTTTTCCATACATCGGTACCTACTTCCCTTCATTTTGTGCTACTTTCACACCACTTTGGAGTTTGCCAGAGACAGTTTCTTGAAGGTTTCCAAAGTGCTCTGTCTTGCCCGGCACTATATTAGTTAATATCCGTCTGAGAATTCTGAGCAGGCATAAGCATTTTTCTCAAAACCATAGTTAAAGAAAACCACATCTCTAATCCTGTTTGGAACAGCAATTGATGCATTCAGGGCTGCACAGTATGGCAAAACGATCCCTGTTTAATAGCCTGACTGCATATTTTGTTTCCTGTTAGGAATAGCTTAACTTGCCTTCTTGAACAAACACAGCAGGGTTCAAGATCTGTTGTTCTAGGCCTGCTGTGATATTCTGTGCTGCTTAACTTGTATGAGGACTCAGGAGTGCATAAATTAGCTTCTTAAATGGAGGTCGATTTTTGGGTTTTCTTTCAGGATGGAACTGGTTTATTAATATCCCCCTCTGCGTGTCAATGGGATCCTGAATCCATTTGCATTTTCTTTGTGTCCTTGTTTATATTCTATTTAAGAGGGATAAATGGAAGCATTCATTTCTGCCAAGTTTTTCTTCCCCTTTTACTTTTTTCCCTTCTTTCTCTCATTTGTCTCGTTCTTTAGGTACAAACTTGTGCAAGTAGAATCTGGCCTGTTCTTATCTCTGTGTAATCAGATTTCAGCAATCGGGGGCATCATTTATCATTCTTCGCCTCATTTAACTTCTGTACTTTGAAATGTTGAATTAACTGTCATTGAAAATAGAAAATTGAAAGTTTGCAAGGCTGCTGTTTTTATAGAACTGTAGGTCTAGTGATTTTAGTGTTTCATTATAGTTATATAACCGGCAAAATCCATGCAAATGAAGTGCAAAACTGAGAGGTGGTAACAGTTTACGGTTGGTTCTGGTTTATGACTCATTTGCTTTTACCTTTACTTGCTTTGTGTGTAAATTATTATATCTTGTTTTGATAACCCTATTTTCCCCCCTTATCATTTACTGTTTTAGAGGAACATGTACAGGCATCTTTTATATGTATTCCCAAGCTGGGGCTGGCAAGATTGACAACGCTGAGTCTGAAAGATGTAGCACGGTGGGCTACCACTCACATTGGTAGATCCATTCTGTGACTAAGGAAAGGGAAGCAGAAACCACAGTAAGTCTTGCTACTTCCCGTATCCAGTGTGATGGAACTCTGTGGAGATCAGAGTCACAGCATATTGCTGAACCAGAAGGGTGATCACAGAACCCAGTAGTTTGTCCCCCACTGTAGTTCTGTGTGGCTTTATCTGTGGCAGTCCAGACCAGCTGAGGAAGGAGATGTACTCTGCCAGTTTCATACCCATGGGAGTCTTGGCCAACCACTCTCCCGTGGTCCTCTCCAACTCTGTGTTTGCGACTATAAATACAGGAATCCAAGATGCTCAGATTCAAAGTGCATG